AACCAGTCAGTCCCTCGTGGGGAACCATTGTGCCAATCTCCAGGTGAGGGCTGGAGACCACTCAGAATTACAACTGCTCTGCAGAAGGGAGGGCAGAAGTCAGCTGAAGTCAAAGGGGCAGATAATGGTAGGTTGATGGTTAGCTGGGAAGGAGATGGGGTTGCCAACTCCAGGCTGGCAAATTCCTGGGGATTTGAGGGGTGGAGCCTGGAGAGGGTGGGGTTTGCAGAGGGGTGGGACCTCAGACAGGTAGAATGCCATAGACTCCACCCTCCAAACCAGCCATTTCGTCCTGGGTAACAATTGTTGCCAATCTCCAGGTGAGGGCTACAGATCACTCAAAATTACAACTGCTCTTCAGGTAGCAGAGATCAGTTCCTCTGGAGAAAACAGTGGACTCTGTCATTATACCCTGCTCAAGTCACCATAGCAAATTGATACTGTTTGCCCAAAGCCAGAGCACCCCCCCAGAGCCTCTTTCTAGATCTCGTATTTATTTCCACAACGGGCTTTATTCCTAGTACCTAATAACGGAGCTGCAGTGGTTCAGAGGTTAAGACGCTGAGCTGCAGCCCGGAAGGTCTGTAGTTTGGCAGTTCAAGACCCGAGTGCCACGTGACGGAGTGAGGTCCCATCTTTGGTCCCAGCTCCTGTCAACCTAGCAGTTTGAAAGCAAGAAATTGCAAGGAGATAAATAGGTACCGCTTCGGTGGGAAGGTAACAGCATTGCGTGCCTCAGCGTCTAGTCATGCCGGCCACATGACCATGCAAACGTCTTCAGACAGCGCTGGCTCTTCGGCTTTGAAACGGAGATGAACACCGCAACCCTAGAGTCGGATTCGACTGGCTTTCGAGCAAGGGAACCTTTACCTTTACTTATACCTAATAACATATTCTTACCATCCATAGGGAATTTCAGTTTTAATATGTTCTGCATTTTTCCATGTATTTCTTTCCCATATTTTTTTTTTACAAGTCCACCACAAATGGAAAAAAGGTCCATCTGTGTCTTGGCATTTCCAGCCTTTGTAGTTTTTATCTGCTTTCTCAATATCCTTTGGGGTTATATACCATCTAAAAAACATTTTGTACCAATTTTCTCTTAATGCCTGGCTGGCTGTAAACTTGATCAGAGTTCCCCACTGATCCTTAGGTATCTGCTCTCTAAAATTCTGCATCCATTTGATCATACATTTTTTCACTTATTCTTCTCTTTCTAGCTAGAGTAACATCTCGTATATCCATCGTAGTAAATGATCTTTTTATTTTGTCATCAGCTGTTTGAACTCAGTCGCGTGTCTTAGAGCTCCCCCTTCCGTGTTAATGATCTTCTTTAGTCTTGAAACTGATTGTTAATATAGCAGCCATTGAATATTTATTCCTTCATCTTTAATATCTTGCCCAAGACTTGATCTTCCCCTGAGCATCTACCGTGTTACCGTACATTAAAAAGTCATTTTTATTTCTCATGTATCTGTCATGATCGGCTTCTGTGGGGGACATAAGCGGGGAGTTTGAAGGGCTCAGTAAGTTCCGGCGGGGCAGCTGAAGAGGGAGGGGTCAACCTAGTGGAAAAGGCCTTTCTCCCCTCCTCCCCGCCCCCAAAGTCAGGCACCTGCGATTCCAGAGCACCACCTACTGGGCTCTGGAGGAAGCCGCAGGAGAACCTTCCATGGAGAATTCTACTTGCAGTTCTGGTCTGCCATGTTGCCGGTGCTCCTAGCCCTGTGGGGTTCAAGTACAAGCTTTCTTTCGCCTTTATTTATTGCCTTTTGGACACACAGGGGTGGCATTACAGGCCAGAGAATGAGCAGTGAGCCAGGAGGTTGGGGCTAACTGGCTGTCATGGCCAGTGGGACTGTTCCTAATAGGCTGCGGTTTCCCCTTCGTCAGAACTGCGTGCAGCTTACTTGAGCTTCACGCAGCAATGGGGAGGCAGTGTAGCCTACTGGTGGGTGGGACAGGCAGGCTTCATCTCTTGCATGCAGGAGGCTCCGGATTCAGTCTCTGGCATTTCTCATTAAAGAGATCTCAGCCCAAGTTCCTCCCCTCTCCCAACCTGCAGTGCAGGGATAATCTTAGCCTGTTGTCAGGGCTCTCTAGTAACCCAGAGGGTGGTGAATCAGTGGACTACTGGGGTTGGCTTGGTCGGGGGTACCCAGCCTCTCTGAGCCGGTGGGCACATTTGGGATTTTGAGAGCAGGTGGTGAGAGCCACCCCAAAAATGGCTTCCATAGGAGGCACACCCAAACCCCAAATGGCTTCCGTGGAAGGCAGAACGAAGTGCATTGCCTCCCTCCTCAAACCTCCTGTGTAGAAGGTAAAGTTGAAAGGGGGAAAGAACCACACACTGACTAAGAGAAGCTCAGGCGCTTCCCAGGCCTCCTGGTCCTCTAGTAGAAAAGCCCTGCCTTGCCGTGGCTGCACTCACTTCCTGGAAAGCTTGGGGGGGCGCCAAGGGAAGGACTGGCAAGTACTGTAGCGCCTGTGGGCACCACATTGGGGAACCCTGGAGTGGGCCACAGCTCAGTGGCAAAGTGACAGTTTTGCACGCAGGAGGGTCCCAGTTTCAGTCCCTCAGTTCGAATGAGAGCGGGTTTTGTTTGCAGAGGCCTCGGGGAGCCCTGCCAGTCTCAGGACGCCCCACAGGCCCTTTCAGGTATGCAGCCTTCCAGGTGTGTCTGGACTCCTGCGGGAAGCTTCTCTTCAGACACTGCTCCGATTGTTCAGTCCGAGAGGTGAGGTCCTTCCAGCCGTCTTTTGAGCACTTTGCGGGAGTGATGCTCAGAGGTTCCGCAGGCTTCTGTGTGTCAGGACCAGTGTTCCCTCTAAGCTGAGTTAGTGTGAGCTAGCTCACGTTTTTTTAGCCTCTGGCTCACACATTTTTGTCTCAGCTCAGGAAGGAGGGCCCCAGAGCAGACTGATTTATGCAGCAGCCAAATCGCTTGCTCACAACTTTAATGCCAGGAGCTCACAAAGTAGAATTTTTGCTCACAAGACTCCACAGCTTAGAGGGAACATTGGTCAGGACGGGTTCAGTTGCTGCTTCTCACAATTCATTTTTGTTTATTTTAACTATGCCTGACGTCTTTTGCTTTTAAATTCAGGGGGGGGAAACCAAATGCCTTCTGGGCCCCCTGCATTAAAGGCATCGTTGAATGAACGCATTTAGCATCTAAGTTTCTAAGTGCTTGTGGGTTCCGGTCCGTTCGTCTGAAAGTGATTTGGGGTTTACAGGTTTGGGGGGGGGGTTGGTTCCACACTTGTCATTGACAGTTACTCTTCCTCCGTTCCCCCAGTATGTATCTATGGCAACTGCCTCACCTCTTTGTAATTTCCGAGCATGGTTGCTGCCGTTCCTGTAGGAACTCACAGATGCTCAGCCCAAGAGTAGCCATCACTACAAGGGCTGTAAGCTGCTCCAAATGCTGAGAATCGGGATGGAAAGGGACCGGCTGGGGCCGAGGGGAGCGCCTGCTAGAAAGAGGGGTAACCCTTGTCTCTTGTGTCTCTGCTCTTTCCAGGCTGTGCCTTGGGCAGCGGACGTTCTGTATCCCAGGAGTGGATCCGGACACTTTCTCATTTTTTTGGAACTCAGATGTACCAAGCCGCAGCATCCACCCTCTCCTCTTCACAGAGAATAACGCTGCAGCTGGAACCCGACGTTAATTTGAAGCTAGCTGAAGTCTCTGAGGCCTTTGTAGCTCCTTGCTTGCAGCCTCACAGGCGAGACACGATCTTCGAGGCTGCCTGGATCGGAGTCCGTGCGTTTCCGGCTGAGAAAGAGGGTGCCACATTGGCCCCACGCAGCTCCGGGTTGCGCTTGCCGTGTCTGCAAAGGACCTCAGCAGGAGGAGGAGGAGGAGGATTCCCCACTTCCTGCTTAGCTTCTCATCTGTGCCATCCCCATTGGTGAGCCTGGCGGCCTTGTGTAGCTGTGACCTCGCCCGCTCGTGGTTCCCCCCCCCCCCTTCACCATTTCAGCAGTTGGAAGGAGCAGGTTCTGCTGGAGCCAGACTGTGAAGGACTTGGGAACATTTGGGGTGGAGGGCATTTGAAAGGTATCCTCAGGCAGGGGCCGCTCACAACTCTGAAGGCACGGGGAGGAAGCCCCTTCCTTTTTTGGCACAACAGCCCTCCCCTCCCTGTTGCTTCCCCTGTCCCCATGGGAAGGAGCTGCTCAAGACGTTGGAGCAGGGGGTCATCCATGGATGGAAGGATGGATTGATCTGCAGGCACCGTCCCCGTGTTCACGAACCTTCCCTTCCCGCCCTCCACACACACACAACGGAGCCGCTTGCCCCTCTTCCCCTTCCCCTTGAGGTTGGCCTCCCTGAAGAAAGGGGCGGCTCTTTGAGACTGCAGAGGCAGCTGGATGCGTCCCCTCTGTTGGCCTGACTGCTTGCAGTAGGGTCCTGCCAGATGTGCAGGAAGCAGCCCTGAGAAAGAGGGCTCTCTCTCTCGCACTCGAGGCGCTGCAGCCCATCCATGTTGTGAGAAGCCAGGCAGAGAGACGGGTGCAAGCTGACTCCTCCTCCTGCCACACGTGAGCAGTTTGTGCAGTGGCTCCTCTGTGGGTCGCCTTGTGCTCCAACCCGCGTGATGCACGCAGCAAGGCAAAGCCACCGTTCTTGCGGGGGGGCCCCACTGCTGCACCCCAGCTGGACAGGGGTAGGGTGGAGATGGGGGAGGACAGAGCTTTATTCTGGCTAACACGAGTCTAGAACACGGTTTGAGTCCCGGGGCACCTTTAAGACCAACCAGGTTTAATTCTGAGGTGTGCGTGCACGCGAAAGCCGATGCCCAGAATTAGACTGGGTTGGTCCCAAAGGTGCCAGGGGACTCAAGCAGAGCCCAGCGTGAGGGAGGGGGTGTGTGGCAGCTTGGCCTCGGCCTGGCTGTGGCTCCCCTGCCTCTCCCCTTCTCCGCCCACTCCCCTGGGCGACAGCGTGCCCGCTCACTTCCTTCCCCTGGTTTTGCTGAGTTGCAAGATGAGCTGACTTTTGTGGGGACAGAGAAACGGGACGAGAAGGACAAAGAGCTCTGGTAAACGTGGACCTTCTGAGACCTTTTTTTTTGGACGCTAAGCATTTGGTGCAAACAGCCATTGGAAACAAAAGTAGGGGTTACGTAGGGGTTGCTCCATGTCTCTTTCCCCCTTGTTGGCGTGGATGTGTAGACGCAAAAACACTTCCTTTCTGGTGTCTGGGGAGCAGTGGGAGACCTTTGGCATTTCTCTGCATCGTCTGCTACCGGGTTGTCCGTCAGTGTCTCTTGCCCAGCCAGGGAGCCCTTGGGCAGCCCCTGTCATTGTGCGCCGGGCGTGAGCTTGAAGCAGCCGTTGGCGAACTCTCGTGCTCTTGCTCAAGTCCCTCCTTTGTGCTGAGAACATCCACCAATAAACTTGCTTGCATTCAAGCTGGGTCAGTGTTGTTTCCCTGTGTGTTCTCTCCCCCCCCACCCCCGTGTTCCACGGTGAGGCCACCCTGAGGTGCGAAAAACAATGGGTGGGCTGGGCAGGGGCTGCTCCATCCTTGCAAGGACTGCAGTCTCTGTATATATTGAGGGCAGTTACGGCCACGTGCAGAACGATGACTCTGAAGGCTAAGAGATGGGGCTGGAGCTCCCATCCTGCTGCCTTGCAGGCTGCGTGGAGAGTCCCCTGGGCCAGCAGTGGCCTGTGGGGTGCAGTTTAGGCATCCTTGCGAGGCTCTGTGCAAAGCAGGTCTTAATTGGAGCCCCAGAAGCTGCATGAGGTTATAGCAGGATAGTTTCAGGCATTCCTCTGGCACCACTGTTCCAGCCAGCTGGGAGGAGAAGGAAAAGAATCACGGAGTCGGAAGGAGCCACAGAGGCCATCTACTCCAACCCGCTGCTCAGTGCAGGATCAGCCTAGAGCAGTGGTAGGCAAACTGTGGCTCGAGAGCCACATGCGGCTCTTTGGCCCCTTGAGTGTGGCTCTTCCGCCGTAGGCACTGACGACCTATTCCCTCCATTGTTCTCTATGGTGGGGAAAAAAGTAACTTTTTTCCCACCATAGAGAACAATGGAGGGGATGGGGCAACCTGTTTGGGGGCCCGTGGAATTGGACCCCCTGGTTCAATGTTCCTGAAACATAGCAGGTATCTTGGGGAGAGGCTCTCCCTCAAACCCCCTCCCCTCCAGCCCCCAGAATATACCCTATGTTTTCGCCATTGACTTCAGTGGCCCATAGGATATAATGGGGCCGAACCGCGGGAAGCCCCAGCAGCCCTCAGGCCGGAGCACCTGGAGCAGTCTTGGGAGGCGGATTGGCAAAAAGCAAAACCAAAAGCGCAGGAACTCGAGAGAACTCCAGGAATGGAG